CCAAAGCTCGTGGCCAGTGGTGTTCGGACCGGAGTTTGAACCTCTGCTTAATGATATAAACGGGAATCACCCACGAGCTCTCCCGTGAGCCATCCCAGCGCAGCGCAGGGGAAAAATTTCACTCTATCGCTTTGTTCTAAGCAATGGGGGCGTCCCGGGGCTCGAACTTTAGAATCAGCTGTGGGATGGAGTTTGCACTGAAATGGATTGTGGGAAAAAATTGTGCATGCATGTCATGTGCCTGTCTGTCAATGGGATAGAGGACCTACAATAATGTACAGTATTTGAAAAATAAAGTGTTTTTTGAACATTAAAGCATGTCAACATTTACAACTGTTACACCAAATACACAAAATAATGATCTTTAAAATAGCATCATATGACCCCTTTAAGTGACTAATTAAATGATGATTGTGCATTAGTAATGAACAGCTGCTGTTAACAAGCAGTATCATTGAAGAAAGGAGAAACACAAGAATTACATCTGACTTCAGCCACAGCCTTAGATGAAATCAACTGAAAACAAGACAACATTAAAGGCCCGTTCACAACAAGAACGATAACTATAAAGATAACTATAAAGATAACAATATTAGCATCCACACCAGCGAACGATACCGTCTGTTTATTCTAAGCGCGCATGCGTCTGCCGCTTTGAATTCTCGAGCTCGTTACAGCAGGATGGATTCTGATTCGCTTTCAGTGTTTTTATCATTCATCAGCTGGAAAAAAATCGTTCTGAAAATGATTCCAACGATATCATTTCTCTGTGCCTTTATCGTTATAGTTGTGGTGTGGACTCTGCTATTCTTTAATATTGAGAACGATTTTTAGAACTATATACTATAACTTTATAACATTATATTTTTTGGGCTGCTGTAACTGTGTTTGTAAAGCACATTTTGTTATAGCAAGGAATACCAAAAAAAGACTGCAACCAGGTGATATCGGTTTGTTACTGATACAATAGTCACCCAGATTCAGGATACAGTCTTTGCGAGGAGTTAATAATCTAAAGTTTCTAAGTATAATAGCGCTTTGATTATACAGTATAGGACCCAATAGTGTAATAATTTACGAAAGATTTTAAAAGCATGGTAAGTCTTAAGCATTTTAAATAATTGTGTCATTTAGAAACAAAGAGAAACATCAAGAATCAGTGTATGAAGCTCAACAATGGTGACAATCAAAAGCTTCATGCTGCAATGCATGCTGGGTACCTAGTCTCTGTGCAGTGAGTGCACTTTGACCTCACATTAGTATGAGCACACATTGAGGGCGCTGTGAGGTTACACTTGTAGCTCACTGTGACCTCACATTGTGACCTCATCACGAGTATCCTGGGAGCTCATGGTGACATCACTGTGAGATCAAATTGTTGTCTGGGTCACCTTACGTTCATAAAGTTATTGCAACTAAACTTTGTAAGCACAACTAACTACATTTATCAAGTTGAACATACTTAATATTCTTAATATTAAGTAAATTCTTCCTTAGTTGAATTTAATTATATTAAGTAGAATTTATATAAGTCAGTGGAAACTGGTAACTCAAAAATTTAAGTTGAACTACAGGGAACTTTTGTACTGAAAACTTAAAAATGTAAGTTCTTTACTTTTGCAAAGTTATTCCAACTAAACTTTATAAGTTCATATAACATTCAATTTCTCAAGTTGAAAATATGTAATATTCTAAGTAAATACAACTTAGAATCAAAAAGTTGAGTGAATTATTATTATTTATTTATTAATTTTTTTACAATGCAATACTATATGTTACTCATGGGTTTCGTATCTGAAAATTCTTTGAAACAGCAATTCAAAATATTAGTCCAGAACTAGGTTTCAGTGATCACGATGCATTTGGGTTCATTTATATCTGGTTTGTTAAAAAGCATCCTCAGTGGATTTTATTCGGATGTGCCACAGTAACTGCAATTTTACAAACCAGCCCGAACATTAAGTACTGTGATAGAATCTTCAGACAAGTGCTATAAAATTTCTTCATTGCAGACATGAAGAAATATACAGATGTAATCAGACGATTGTAGATATAGACTTATCTCTCTTGAAACAAAATGTACAACTTTAAAGAAATAATCATGACACGTTAATGAAAGCATCTTTTTCCTTACCAGTAATTGAGATGTATGTTTTAGCAGGTGTGTCTGGAAGGCGATCAGCTGGTATGTCAGCCTTAAAAACTAAAGGATTTTCTCCTGCTCCATTTGGGATGAGAAACAGAGAAGAACAGCAAGGTGGAGGAAGAGTCATGAGTCATATTCTGATCACATTTTGTATACTGTAAAAAATGATTCACTATATTTGTTTCAAAATATTACAAGCAATGTTATTAATGAGTTCAACACATTAGAATTAAATATAATTAATCAAATTAAATGCTAACAATTAACCATTCAAAATGAGTAAAATAGCATAAAAAATTAAGTAAAATGCAAACAGGTCACAATTCAAATAGGTCACAAAATTCTGGACTATTGATAATACCAAGAATTTTTCACAGTCCACTAAAGGAAGTAGAGCTTTTTGGTATTTTACTTTGAAATAGCCTTCTTGATCATGTTTGGGGCTCAGACACTCTTTTAGTTTAAATTAGATTAAAATACATATTTTTAGCCAAGTATTCACACAACACATCTGATAACCATGCACTCCAGTTATATGTGATGAAATAAATAATCTTTTGTCTGAAATAATATGAACAGCAGCTATGCTAAACTTTCTCCTTTTGATTTCCTGTTTCTATCTCAGGATGCCCATCCCAAGGTTATTAGAGGTTACGCCAGCTCCAGATTGAATCCAGCCTCACTTGTGAAGACTTCAGATGACGCCAACACTCACAAAGATTTCAGATGACGACAACTGTAAATGGCCATACAAAACTGACCAATATTATCCTTATATTGCCTATAAGGGTAAGTTTGATGATTTTCAACCCGCTTTGTATTATTGCAACGTCTCTAATATCTGTAAATGAAAAATATTTACTCTTTCTCTGAGTTATGTGTACCTATATGTCCCCTTTTATTTGTAAGCAGCACTCCGCAGGATGATGCAAAATGAAATGATGAGTTTTGACAAAACTAACTTTTTGCCGCATCAAAATGAAAAAATGCTGTGTTTAAAATAAATTGGGTATCTCGGAGAAAGAATAAACATTGTTCTTTTACATACATTACCAACATTGTAACAATACAAAATGGATTGAAAATTGTTGAACTTACCTTTAATAATGTTGAAGGATAGTGTTTGAACACATGACTAGAGACTTTAGTAAGATTTTATCAGAAAAGATTTTAGAAATGTTATCATGCATTTTAAAACATTTTAACTGCTTAATTATTGTTTGCCTGGTTTTTATTTTGTGTTTATGTAACTTGTATTTTTGTAACTCATGAAGATAGCCTTTGGGGGGTGAAAACTTTTCAACAGAATGAAGATGTGTAAATCTTTCTTATTTTGCGTAAATATATATATTTTTTCATTTAGTATTGCTCATCAGAAGCTACATGTTTCACAGAAGACAAAAGCTAAATTTACCCTGATCTTCAAATTGAATTTTTTTTCTCTTTTCTTAATGCATTGTGTTTCCTTCTGGAGCATCTGGAGCATCAGTGAATGTTTGAACCTTCTGTAATAGTTGTAACTGAGTTCCTCAGTTGTCCTCAGTGTGAAAAGATGGATCTCAAAATCATACAGTTATTGTTGGAAAGGGTTCAAATGCACAAAAATGCTGGAAAACAAAAATAATTTGTGGGACCTGAATGATTTTTCAGGTCCCACAAATTAGTTAGAAAACCACAAATAAGGTTTTCAAGAACAACAGGCAGTTTAACTGTTTAGGACAAACAAGGGACTCGTGAACAACTATCATTGAACAAAAATATACAGCTGTGGATCATTCAGGTAACAACACAGTATTAAGAATCAAGTAAACTTTTGAACAGGGTTATTTTTATAAATTAAACTATTATTTTCTCTTGTGGACTATATGTGAACGTCTTTTATGTGAAATATACCCTATACTGGAACAAAGTCGGTCACAAAATATTTTATAGTTAAAAAACTATACATTTTTAGGTTTATGCGAAATAAAAAGTGTTTACTGACTGAAAAATACAAAATTGAAATCTATTTTATGCCATTTTTATGTATTTTCACATTTTAAAGTCAATAAATGTTATTTTTGTGGCAAAAACCGCATCTTCATTTAACACTAAACACACAATTAACACAGTAATATTAAAATAACATCTGTGTTAAAAAATACACCATTTTATTACTCTGATTGCAATTACGGTACTGTGATTTTTACTGTAATAATACAGTATTTAATAAGTTACTGTGATTAAACTTACAGTCAGCATACTGTGGAATATATTACAGCAACTTACACAGTAAAATCCCGAGTGTTAAATTAACACTGCTCGGAGCATATATGGTCCCACTCTACAAGAGTGTTAAAGTAACTCTGAAGCAGTGTTAAAGTTAATGAGATAATTCTGTGATTAATTAAGTGCTGATTGATCATTAGTGATGAACAGCTGCTGTTAACAAGCAGAATCACTGAAGAAAAGAGAAACACAAGAACTACAACTGACTTCAGCCACAGACTTAGATGAAATCAACTGAAATAAAAGACATTAAATCTCTCAAGATCTCAGCAGAAGATGATTAATCATCTCCACAAACAGCATCACCAGCTTCATGCATTAATAACCAGTTTGACTTTATTTCTGGAGTATCTAAAACAGAGGTTCTTTATTGAGAATGAATGGTTAAGTTTTTTTTTTTTTTTCAACTTACCGTTTTTGTGAATAGTGTTTGCTTTAGCTGCCTCTTGACCCTTGACTTTTTAAATTGAATATTCTCTTTGGCTGGCACAATTGTGTGTATTAATTACATGTGTGATGACAAGGAACTTATGATAAAATAATGTCATGTGTCTGAGTCTCTGATTGAGATTTATCGTAATCTATAGTGCTTCTATGATTTCTATCTTGTTGCAGTTATATGAGACAACAACGTAAGAAAAGTGTTATTTTTGTGTCTTAAACTACTTTTATAAATATGGTTCATGAAGAGATTTCAACTCTGGCACTCATAGACAAGAAGAATCAGCATGTGAATCTCAGCAATGGTGACAAAATATTCTGATAATTTTTATGTGATTTTCGAACGTCACAAAACAAGGCAGTAAAAAGTCACAACAAAAAATAACAAAAATAAATGCAAATGGTGAAAATGAAAGAAAATATTACACAATGCAGCTGCATAATTTATTCATGTCACAAATCATGCTGGGAGCCATGGATCAGTTATGATCGGTGCACCCAGAACGTAATGGAGCATGAATCTGTCTGATGATCAAGATAAAAGCGTGGCATCAACATAATAACTATGTTATTATCAATGTCACAGCTAACATAATCTAAACATATTTTCTCTTGGCTGTTCTTATCATAATTAATGTATTTCATAAACACAGTTACAGCAACCAGAAAATGTAGTTAAAAATGCAAGGGTCAAGAGCACAACTAAAGCAAACGCTTCTCTCCACAACGGTGACTTCAAATTGTGCTATGTTCAATAAACATTAACATCTAAACCTCTGTTAATTCTTAATAAGACATTTTTAGACGCATGACAAACAAAAATTCTAACTGGTTATTAATGTGTGAAGCTGGTGATGCTGTTTGTGGAGATGATTAATCATCTTCTGCTGAGATCTTGAGAGATTTAATGTCTTTTATTTCAGATTATTTCATCTAAGGCTGTGGCTGAAGTCAGTTGTAGTTCTTGAGTTTCTCTTTTCTTCAGTGATTCTGCTTGTTAACAGCAGCTGTTCATCACTAATGCTCAATCAGCACTTAATTAATCACATAATTATCTCATTAACTTTAACACTGCTTCAGTGTTACTTTAACACTCTTTTAGAGTGGGACCATATATGCTCCGAGCAGTGTTGATTTAACACTCGGGAATTTACTGTGTACTTGCCAATTGCTGCCAACAAGTTACTGTAAATTTCACAGTAATCTTTTTACAGTGTAGTAAATCCTTTTTTACAGTGTACAGTTTTGGTGAGAAAAGAGCAGGTTGACTGTGATCTCTGGATTTGCTGGAACTTTGCTGGAAGTGCTTTTTCCCCCATAATTTTCATAATTTGCTGGAAGTATAATGTAATTTTGTAAAAACTGTATAACTGAAGTGTAACACAGTGATGTTATTGTGTGGTTCACAGTAAATCTCACCATTCTTAGCAGGATTGAGCTCCACATTTTGTCTATGTAATGGAACCAGCACACCCTCAGACTGAAAGAGAGAGAGCGTGTTAACTACCCGTGATGCTCTAGTTTATTTGTTGAAAATATAACAAACATCTATTGATCATTATGTGATGCAAATGACCAAATAAAATGAAAAGTGACAGAATTCCCATCAGACGTACCACCACCTTCAGTGGCTTTTTCACCCCATCAGTGTGGACAGAATCATATGCTGAAGCTTTCACCTCAATTATGTGATTTCCCAGTGTCATGGGAATAATCACATATGAAACGGCTATGCTGGAGTCTTTGTCAACATTTACTATCGTTCTGTATTTGCCTTTCTTACTGGCAGAGCTGCAGACATTTTCTGTCTCCATGAACTCCACACGCACCTGGTAAAAACAGGTGAAAGAGACTCAAATAAATCCAACATGAAATGTGTGATGATGAAAGATAATTCTGTTTCAGCACAGGACAGTGATTTCCCTCAGGATCCATCCATGTTGTCATTAGTAACCCAGTCAACACTTTGATCTCACAGTGATGTCACCATGAGCTCCCAGGATACTCGTGATGAGGTCACAATGTGAGGTCACAGTGAGCTACAAGTGTAACCTCACAGCGCCCTCAATGTGTGCTCATACTAATGTGAGGTCAAAGTGCACTCACTGCACAGAGACTAGGTACCCAGCATGCATTGCAGCATGAAGCTTTTGATTGTCACCATTGTTGAGATTCATACACTGATTCTTGATGTTTCTCTTTGTTTTTAAACAACACAGTTAAATCATTAGTTGTTGAGATCATGAGAGATTAATAAATGTATTTTGTATGTCCGTTGATTTCATCGTAGGCTGTGTCTGGAAGTCAGTTGTATGTTTCTAGAAGGTTCTTATAACAAAGACTGTTAGTTGAAGTGCACTAATGAGCTCACTATGTGAGAGCACTGTGATAGTGTTGAGAAACAGGATATAGAAAGTGTCGTGTCAACCTGCTCAACATTTTGAAATCACATTGAGCTCACATATTATTCACACTGTGAGGATCACACTATGAGAATGATGTGATGTCACTGTGATCGCACGTGTTGACTGGGAAATGATCTGAATTCAGCAGAAATGGTCACTACGATGAACATGGCTTTAACATATATAAAAACTTAATTTTTTATATCAAATCAGATCTACCTTCAGCTTCTTTTGGGAGTAGTTGTGAATAATGGCCTTGATTTCCAGTTGTTCTCCACGCACAGCTGAGTAAGGCATCTTGAGGTCAATGAAAAGGGTTTTAAAAACAACCATCTCCTCAGGTTCTGCCACACAGATGCCTTTAAGGAGGAACACAGACACACAGAGAACTTCTTAAAGCAGCAGATTCTGGATGCTAATGTTGTTTCTCAGAGCATGTATTCTGGGTTTGCAGCTTCACCTTACCATGTGTTGGTGACAGACTGACAGCCACAATCTGCCTGGTAGTGATAGACTGTTTCAGGTAGATCACTTTATCTGTGACTGATGTTGTTCCACTGGAATATGAGGAAGTGACAGATAGAAAATCACAGACAAGCTTCATCTCACCAGCAAAGACTGACATGATTCAGTTCAATACAATAAAGAAATACAAAATCTTACCAGTGGTTTTCTCTGCAAGTGGGTAGATCGATCTCCTCCCAAAGCCAATTCTCAGGAATGTTCGTACGTGACAAAATCATTTCAAAATCTGTATAATACTTGTCATCATCTGTTTATAGTTTTAACAAAAACAAATCATTAATCTCTCTGAGATCTGAATTTATTACCATTACTGAATTCCCAATTACTCTTTGGTCTCAGTGTTATTATTGATGTTTTTCTAAATTTGTTTTGTGTCTTTTATTTATGTCTTTGTTTCTTAACTCATATCATGTACCCAGTCAACACGTGAGATCATGCGATGATCACAGTGACATCACATCATTCTCATATGGTGATACTCACAGTGTGAGTAATATGTGAGCTCATTGTGAATTCAAACTGTTGAGCAGGTTGAGAGGAGGCAGTTCAAATATCGATAGAGGCTTTTACACGAAGTGAAAATAGCAGTATTTTTTTGTGAAATGCCATTTACACAGTGCAAATAGCTATAGATAGAATAGGAGGATATTCTGCAAATTACTTATTGCAAATAGTGTCAGTTATCTGCACATCAGCATTGTAATACATTATAAAACTGTGTGCAATAATAACGTATTGAGTGTAAATTTTAATTTTAATTCAAATTATTAAATGGATGCCACCTTATTGGGACAAAAGCCCTCCCTACACCTACACCTACCCTATACTTTATTTTCAACTTTCTGATTATTTCCTTAATTTTTATTCAAAATAAATGCTTTTCTGTTGTGATCTGAAATTTGAAAAAGGGAGAAAAAAAGTTTGCCAAAAGGCAGATTTGAACCCGGGTCGATCGCGTCAAAAGAAGCATGACACATGCTTTACTATCTACACCACTGAATCTGATGATTCATGACCATCTTTTGTAATGTTGACTATCCCAATCACACGTTGGTGGGTGGAGTTAGTATAAATAGCCTCTGCCAACAAAGGCACTTACACTTAGTGTTTAGAGAAGGGTATAACTGCAGCCTGGAGATCTCCAAATGGTGGCGGGAACTCCAAAACAGGGTGGGAGCTCCAAAATAGGGTGTGGCTTCCTCCCATTGACAGACAGGGACATGACACGCATACGCACTTTTTCCCCCAATCCACTTCGGTGCAAACTCCGCCCCACAGCTGATTCTAAAGATTTTATTGGTTGTGTCAATTAAAGTGTTGATTTCCTACACTATGCTACAAAAAATGCTAACCCTTAAACCTACCCCACACCTGACCCTAACCTTAACCAGTGAAACTGACTGCATGGCGGGATTGGCGCTGAATAGCGTGGTAAAGAAAGTTGCTGTTCAGGAGATAAACAGTTAATAAGATTATGCGATATGAGATCATTCCGTAACTCCCCAACCGGACCTCACCGGACAATGGTACCTTTTTAGTTACACCCAGCATCACTACCCCCTCCTACCCTGCAAATTTCGAGCCCCGGGACGCCCCCATTGCTTAGAACAAAGCGATAGAGTAAAATCTTTCCCCTGCGCTGCGCTGGGATGGCTCACGGGAGAGCTTGTGGGTGATTCCCGTTTATATCATTAAGCAGAGGTTCAAACTCAAGTCCGAACACCACTGGCCACGAGCTTTGGGCTCTGCTCTCACGGAGAATATTTATTTATATAGCATATTTTATTTTAGATCAACTAGAAACAATGTTTCATTTATAAAGTTTTATTTTGAACTGTAAGTCAATAACAATTGGCCGAAGCCAGAGCCAATGGTGAAAGTCTTTGCGCGAAGAGACCCCTCCCCATTTTGGAGGTTCTGCCCACTTTTGGGGTTCACGCCCCATTTGGGAGATCTCTGCAGTCATACCTACTTGGAACAGTTAAACAGTCGACCACAGAAAAAACAGCAGCACCCCCACCTATTAGAAATACCAAAAAGAGACTGCAACTAGCTGATATTGGTTTGTTATTAATGATAACAACACAATCATCACCCAGATTAAGTATGTAGTCTTTGTGAGGAGTTATTAATCTAGAGTTTCTAATTACAATAGCTCTTTGATTATACAGTATAACAATTAATGAAGGCTTTTAAAACCATGTTACATCACAAACATTTAGAACTGCTGTGGCATTTAAAAACCAAGAGAAACATCAAGAATCAGTGCATGAATCTCAACAATGGTGACAATCAAAAGATTCATGCAGCAATGCATGCTGGGTACCTAGTCTCTGTGCAGTGAGTGCACTTTGACCTCACATTAGTATGAGCACACATTGAGGGCGCTGTGAGGTTACACTTTTAGCTCACTGTGACCTCACATTGTGACCTCATCACGAGTATCCTGGGAGCTCATGGTGACATCACTGTGAGATCAAAGTGTTGACTGGGTATGTAATGCCAGGGTGAAGCCACATAAGGGCTGGTCTACACAAATTGAATATAACCTGTCAGAATAATAGTAATGGTTTGGATACAACAAGAAAAATTGCATAATTTCGATATTCACTGTGCAACATAACTCCACTTTTGTAACTTATTGCAGAGTGAATATCTGTCATGTCAGACACAAATAGCAGAGACATCCTAGCTGTATCATTAAGAGCAAATTCTGATAATGATCAAGATGATGATAACGCTATTCCAATAAACCACAATGATAGAAAAACAACATCTAATAGCAGAGATGAAGCATTTAAAGGGTTGAATAATAAGTGCTGTTTCTCACCCAGTGATCTGCGTCTTCTCTTTGAAAAGAAGGGACAATTCGGCACTAGAGAAAAATCTTTATCTATAAAATCTTATATTCAGTGAATAAAATATACTGGAATTTTTATTGAAAATGAATAAATTACAAATATGCACACATACTTGTTCTGGTGTTGGTTCCTCCTGCAGTGTTGGACTGAAACATCAGACCTGCATCAGTGAAAACCCCCATACTGTCCCTTCCACCTCCTGCCGTACAGCCGATGTCATGCTTCTCTATGACGTCCCAGATCTAAAGCAACAAAGAGTCCCTTTATAAACCAACCTCAAGCATTCAGTGACTGTTGAGATGCTGATGAAGATCCTTCACCTGAGTCTGGGTAAGTCTGTTCTTGTTAAGGACATTCACAGCCTTGTCAACCACCACCAGACCAACTTTAGCTCCAGGATCTCCAGTTATCTGCAGCTTGACCTCATCTCCTGTGCCATAGGAATACATCTTGTCCTTCACCTTAACCTGGAACTGTTATTAAAATGAAACATTAAGTCAGACCTAGATGACTGGCACATCAACTATTATTTTGTGATGGTTGACCCACCGTTCCCATGCATGTGTCTTTCACATCGACCCAGACTGAATCAGACACCACCTCAGACGAGCCCACATGATAATAAGCCACAAAACGGAAGGATGGCACCATGTCTTTGGTTACAGGCAGAGGCAGAGACACTAGAGACTGCCCTCTTCGCTTAAACCTGTCAACTTTTAAAATCTGACCTTTACTTAAGATCTGAAAATGAGGCAGGCGAGAAAATAAAATACATGAATTTATTCATAAGATTCAAACTTGAACAAAAGCTATACACAAGCTTTTTTAAAATCAATAATATCCCCTGCAAACAAGCCTGCACTGGCCCTTTATGGGCTGCCAGCGCAGGGCCCCTGAGAATTTGCTCATTGGCAAAACGTCGGCCCCTTAGCACTGGCCCTGCACGGGCAGCCCTCACTTAGCCTCCAGGAAGCCTTAGCGCTGTTTTATTGAAAATAATAAAGTTTGAAGTCACCATTATGGAGTTAAGTGCTTGCTTTAGTTGGGCTCTTAAACCTTGCTTTCTTAATTTTAATGTTTCTCTGGCTACTATAACTGTGTGTTTCTGAAACACATTTGTTATAGCAAAAGTTGTGAGAGAACAAACTGATCAGATGGTGATGGATACTTATTGATCATTCAATCATCATGTAGTTTTCTGATGTCACCCAGAGTTTGAGGTCTGAGAACATTATTCAGTTTTAATAATTTCACCACTGTTGAGGTTCATATGCTGAATCTTGATATCTGTGTGAGTCTACATGATCCAATCCAAATAATTTCTGCAAGTTTCATGCATTTGTATTGTAGGGCTACTATTATGTGAATTAATTAAATCTAAATAATGTTCTCAGAGATCAAACCGTGGGTGACATCAGGGCATCAGGCCACTATGTGATGACTGAATCATCAGATCAGTTTTTCTTCTAGCAACTTTTGCTATAACAAATGTGCTTCAGAAACCCACAATTACAGCAGACCAAAAAAACTTAAGATAAAAAGTCAAGCGTCAGGAACCAAACTAAAATCAAGCAAGCGCTTACCTCCATAATGGTGACTTAAAACTTTATTATTTTCAATAAAACAGCACTAAGGGCTTCCTGGAGGCTAAGTGAGAGCTGCCCGTGCAGGACCAGTGCTAAGAGGCCAACGTTTTGCCAATGAGCAAATTCTCAGGGGCCCTGCGCTGGCAGCCCTTAGTGGGCCCGTAAAGGGCCAGTGCAGGCTTGTTTGCAGGGTCTGCATGAATGATGATGATGATATGACTGTTTCTCACCATGTATGTGTAATCCTGATCTTTGACTCCTGGACTGTGTCCAGTGTTCAGAAAGACTTTCATTTGATCACCGATCTGAAGCTCTGCAGCATCACTAAAGATGTGCAGGTAGTTGTCAGAGCCGTCTTTGGGAATGTAGGCCTGAGCCGTCATCTTCTTCACTGCCTGCTGTTCATCGCTTAATTGTCGATATTTGGTCTTTGCCTGGAAAAAAAATACATTGTTTTCTGATGTGCTGTGAATATGCTCCACTGCTTGATCAACATTTGTGATCTATTTTATACTAGATCCCCAGTGAAACTGACTGAACATCAGTGCTATTGAGATGGCAAGTCTTACAGTGATCTCTAGTGTAGAAGATCCTCCCAGAGTGTTGATGGTAGCCTTTGCAATGCCATTGGCTCTTGTTCGACCTTTGACCCCTCCTGGATTGATCTCCACTTCCACATTTTCAGCAGGTGTTTGGTCAGGATTTGTTACATAGATCTTTTATAGAACCCAGACCAAAAAAATAAATAAAATAAAATATATAAAAACAATATTTAGAATATAAATATAATTATTTTATATTGTTGAAATTCTCAGTTCCTATAACCCTTCAGGTTCTCAACTATCTTGTCAATGTTTTATACCGAGACGTCGAAGGGCATTCCAGGTTTGAAGAATTGTGGTGTTTTTTTGAAGTGGATGGTGTATGATGACGTCACAATCTGAATGCCTCTCCTTTCTGCTTCCACCATTTCACTGCCTGAAACACTCAAGCGATTAGCTTCTCACATTCAATCACACACATGCATGTAAACATGCATACAGATGTACAGTATCTGTTGAGTCTTACCACTTTCTGTTAAAACACTGACTGAAAACCAGATTGATCGTCCAACCAGCTGGCTAATGTTCAGAAAGGTTTCAGTGATCATCTGATTGGTCAGTTCTGCAGTACCTGCTCCTTTCAGGATCTATTCATATATGAGAAAGACATTAACACCAGTCTACAAGATGCAGCAATAAGCTATTAAACTATTTATTTAGATTCTCCTCTAGGTGACGAGAAATGACATTGATCCCAACTTGTAAGATAATGTCTCTCACCTGAACTTTTTGCCGAGATGTAGGAATCCTTATTTTCTTCTCACCGTTCATCACACCAAACACCACAAATGCATTTCCATCCACCTTCTGTCCAAACAGGTACCTATAAAAGCACATTCAATTTATGCTGTAAAACTTAATGGTGACGATGGCTGTCCCTGATCCACATCCACTACATTACATAGAATAAGAGCAGCTTTGGCAATTTCTTCTCGTGTTGAGAAAGTCATACAGGTTTTAAACATGCGGGTTAGTCATTTTTAAAATATATATAATACACATATATATATTTGCGATATATCCCGTTTGGAATGCACCGACAGTTGTTTGGTCCCCTACACCCTTCAACCCTTTTGAAGCTCTCACTCCGGAGGGTAAACCCTTTGAAGGAATTAGGGCATAGGGATGAGCCCTTCCGATTGGAAAGCAGGATATGTGTGCTCATACTAATGTGTGGTCAAAGTGCACTCACTGCACAGAGACTAGTTACCCAGCATGCATTGCAGCACAAAGACTGCATACTGAATATGGGTGAAGATTGTGTTGTTATCATCAATAACAAACCGATATCACCTGGTCGCAGTCTCTTTTTGGTATTCCTTGCCATAACATTTTTTTTTCTTTTTTCTTTATATCACATTACTGAGACAAGTACGTTCTTTCATAAATACATATCATACAATCATATAATTTAACCAATCTGTTACCCTTTGTCCTTTCTTTGTCTATTTATAAGAGTTAACCGATCTTTAAGACCATATTGAAATAGGGGTACACTTGGTATGTTCCATAACTTATCGGTTACATTGACTGACAATTTCTGTCCATCTCTTAAAATGTAATCCCCTATGCATTTTAAACTTGATGTAATTACTGATTTAACTGGGATCTCATATTTCTGAAAAACACAAATATTCCTAGATTTCCATAGCGCTTCTTTAAAGGGGTCATATGATGCTGCTAAAAAGAACATTATTTGGTGTAATGAAATGTGTTCAAAAACCTCATTATTTTCCACATACTGTACATTATTGTTTCTCCTCTATGCCCCGCCTTTCTGAAACGTGTCGATTTTTACAAAGCTCATCGGTATGAAAAAGCGAGGTGTGCTGTGATTGGCCAGCTATCCAGAGCGTTGTGATTGGCCGAATACCTCATGCGTGTGACGGAAATGTTATGCCCCTACCACATTGTGATGATGCCCTGTCAGGCCGGAGCGATGATTCAATAACATGAAAACCCATTATAAACGAGGCATTCGTTGCATCCAGTGGGAACATAATTATAGATTATCATGACCTATACTGTCTTTTTACGCGTTGCGTTGCATCGCGCCGCGTAAACATAAAACCATGTCTGCATTTGTGATCGGAGAAATGACAAACAACAAGCCCTACTCTACACTGCCCAAAAAACTCACTTTAAATATTTAAAAAAACGTACTTACAGTCTTGAAGTCTGAACAGCCGGCATTGTAGTCTACCAGGATCAGTAAACAGTCCTCCATAAAATGTGCTGCACACATCTGAATATTTGGATTGAAGTGTTCTGGAACAGTGTTGTAAATACAACTTAACAAATCTTCCCCCATAGTGATGTCGATATGTGGGGGCGTGTTAGAACGAACCGTTTTAGGTAGGTGTGGCTGACTCTTAACTTTTATAAAGAATATCTCTTTGGATTTGAGACTTTAGTCTTTGCAACTTTACAGATCTTCTTTATGCACCAAGAGCTTGTAACACTCCAAAGAGAAAGGAAAAATTCATATGACCCCTTTAAAAACATTTATAATTGCCCACCACCATATTCATTTTTTACAATGAACCTTTTCCAATTCTCCATACCAAATATTACCTTCACTTGGCACTCTGTACAAATTATATAACCATAATCGAATAGAAACCCAAACCTTCTGGGCATAAGCACATTCCCACAAACAATGTTGTATTGTCTCTTCTTCCCCACAGTTTGCTCTAGGACACAAAGAAAAACGAGAACAGCCTCTCCTCTTCAAAAAGGCCCGAGTAGGTAAACAGTTTTGTACAGCTTGCCGTGCAATATCCTTATGGCTATTAAACAAGAAATCATCATTCACATTCTTCCAAACCATAATACATTCTGATTCAATGAGACGACCTACAGGAGTCATCTTAAATAAAGATGGGGATAACTTTTCCTCTATTAACTGTCTATTTAAACTCCCAATCTGAATGTTAGACCAAGATGTTCTCTTTAATATCTGCAACATTTTATTATACATAACTGGTCTAGTTTCTGCATAAGGAGCATTTTGAGGTATTCTCTTATTCAAAATTCTCCCCACTTGTCGGCCTACCCAAAACTTCAGGAAAAAACTGCTAGAATTAGCCACTTCTTCATTTAGGCAAGATTTCAATACAGGAAAGAGAAACATAGCATGCAATTTGGCTTGTATATCGGGGGCCGCTAATCCTCCTTTCTCGATTTTTCTACATACAATTTCTCGTTTCAACCTCTCCTGATTAGAGTTCCATAAAAAAACAGATCTTTTTCTTTACTGAATTTAAAAACCATCTTGGGGCTGGCATGGTTGCCGCTTCAAAAGTAAGAGATGCTATAATCTCTGCGTTAATTATTAACACTTTATCCCTAAAACTAAGATTTCTTTCCTCCCACTGTTTTATTTTCCACTCTATTTGTTGTATCCTGGCATTCCAATTCCTTTCTTCCATATCTCTACACCACACCATCCCTAATATTTTAATGGCTTTGTCTTGGATTTTCAATCCAAAGTTTAATTTGGGTTCTATCCAATTTAAGTATAAAATCTTACTTTTACTTATTATTTTCCATACAAGTCGCCAATGTGAAAAGCTCACATAACTGTAATGCTCTTTCTACTGAATGGTTGTTCAAAAGTAACAGGGTGATATAGTCCATATAAAGTGAAAATTTTGCTTCCTTACCTAATAAGCTCCCTGGTATTATTAATCCTTTCAATTCAGAACTCTGCCTAATAGCTTGAGCTAATGGTTCTATGGCTAACACAAAGAGTAAAGGAGATACACCACATCCCTGTCTCACTCCTGAACGAACGATAACAGGTGGTGATAGATGGCCATTCACCAATATGCGACTCTGACATCCAGTGTATAATAAATTGATCCATCTAAGAATTGATTCCCCAAAACCATAACTCTGTAACATTTTACGTAAGAAAATGTGATCTATGCTATCGAAGGCCTTTTCTAAGTCCAATCCCACAACACATAAAGGTAATTTACGATCCTGTGTGTAAAGGAAAGTATCTCTTATTAATGACAAATTCTGATGTAAGGATCTACCTTTTACCCCACATGTTGGTTCGTTTCCGATTAGGCTTACCATACTGGGTTGGGGTCTAAAAAAATGCTTTTGACAATATCTTCACATCAGTGCCCAGCAAGGACAAAGGGTGCAAATTCTTTAGATCAGATTTATCTCTCTTTTTGAATAACAAAGAGACAATACCCTCTATCAATGTTGGGGGAAGTACACCTAGACTAAAACTTCCTTTAAACATTTTCAGCATTGTCTCACTTAACTCCTCCCAAAATGTTTCATAAAATTCTTTGGGCAGGCCGTCTACCCCTGGACTTTTATTACTTTTCATACTCTTTAATGCTTTTGTAAGATTGTTAATCGTGAACTCTTTATCCATCTCAGTTGAAACATTTTGTTCAACAACACTTTTAAAAAGGAAATCACCCATAACCCTCTCATCTATTTTATTTTCAGAGTAAAGGTTTTGATTAAATGAGTGGATATATGAAATTAGATCCTCTGTTTCAGTTATGGCTTCATTATCTTGAAGCACTTTCCTTAAAAAAGTATTGGGTACACTTTTCATTTGATTCAATATGGTGTATTCTACTTATAATAAAACTCATACTTCGGTCCACGTAAATGTCTGAAATTAATTTTTTAAGTCTCATAATATCATCTACCACATTAAAACCTGACTGGGCCATGTATAGAATTGATGTAATTTCTTTTGATATAATTTACATTTAAAAAAAGCTTCTTTCCTTTTAATTTTTCTACCCTCTCTTATAAAGAATGTATTTTGTTCTAATTTTAAAGTTTTCCCACCATTCACCAACCGACTCATACTATAAACTTTTCCATTTAATCATTTTTTCTTTATATCGGGTTACAACTTCCTGGTTGTCCAATAAGCTAGTATTTAATTTCCATAACCCAGTACCTTTCACTCTTATCCCTCCAAAAACCAGCTCAGCATCCACCTTGGCGTTGTCAGAGAAAAAAAAGTTTAGTTTATCCCTGAATTCAGTACTGTTATTTGAGGTGAAGTAAACAAAATCAATTCTGGAAAAGCTACGACCATTTGACCAACTGTTCCCAGGACTATCTGGGTGTTTAAGTCTAAAAGTATCTACTAAACCAAAATCTTTTACTAAACTGATTAATTCTTGAGAACTTGAATCCAGTGAAACATTTTAACTAGATTGTCGATCACTCTGGCTTAAAGGACAATTAAAATATCCTAATATAATCTCTTTCCCACAAATCAATAAAGGTGACAGTGCTTTCAAAGCTTCCTTTCTACCTTGTAGATCCACTGAAAAATATACATTAATCACACGAAAACAAAGGTTATTACATTTTACATCCACATATATTAATCTCCCATTTATAACCTCTCGTGTTTTAAGAACTTTCAAGGAATTACCCTTCAAAGGTATACTAATACCAGATCTATTATTATTATCCCCAGACCACACTGATTGACCACATATTCACCTATCTTCTAGATTTTTATAATCCTGTTTAAAAGGAATATTACAATCCTGAAGTAAACAAATATCATGACCTGCATTACAGAAATATGAAAAAAAAAACAAGCACATTTTACTGGATCCATAATACCTCTTGTATTGATTGAGGCTACAGATAGAGAGGTCATTCAGTGCGAATTAAGAGGAAGGAAAGGGGGGAACCGTCATTAGGGGGATTCCATTTTACTCTTCAATCTTTTCCTCTTTTTCTTTTTACTCTGCATTTCCATTCCTTTTGGAAATAATTCTTTGTTCATTTTTGTAGTGGAAGAAAAGGCAGACATTT